ATGTGTGTTCAGAGCAGCACGAGTGAATGGATGGATGAAAGTTTAGACGTTACAAACCATCTTTCTAAATATTCACTTCCTCAAAGGTTCCTATATCAGGGCTCCAGACTAACTTTTCCACCAGTTTTCTTGGTTGGTTACACCAGCAAATGAGTTGGCTGCCCCAACCTGTAGGTAAACAGTAAAAAGGGCGTTTTAATGCCAGATTTAGCCGAGATGTGCTGCTTTCTATGAGTGGAATTTACTGCGAGCAGACCGCATTTGAAATGTCAATACCTCAGTGGATAATGTTTATATGGTCTGTTTTTACTAAGGTGAAAATGTAGAGCTCTCTTCCCTTGTTATCCATGTAGTGGTTGATTCAGTCATGCTGGTGAGAGAACTTACATCTCAATAGGTTATTAGATAGATAGATGGACAGATGGACAGATGGATAGATGGATAGATAGATGGATATATAGAACTTTATTGATTCCTTTGGTAGAACCTCAGGGAAATTGTTGTACTAGCAATGTTACTATTATTATGCAAAACAAAGGTGTAAAGATTTATTTTGTCCTTGTTCCAGAGAAAAGAAAATGTCTCGAACCAGTGCTCTGAAGGTCCTGGACCACGGGATGATTGGACCAGAGGGAGCAGATAACTGCCATAAGTTTGTGGACATCCTGGGCTTGAGAACCATCTTTCCTCTTTTCATGAAAACCCCCAAGAAGATGAAGAAAACTGGTGCTTCAGAGAAAGAGCATGAAGGTCAGTCACTGATTACAATGAGTTCATAACAACATGATTCCTCTGCAAAGGCTGCAGTCGTGACCTTGTGTTTAGTCGCGTGACCTGCTGGGCCAAGCAGGGGAAGGTGAGTCATTAACCTATACCAGCACCAGCAGGTCTGTCTGATAAAACATTTGAGATCAATGGATTCTTTTTTTTTAAAGTTATTTTTTTGGCCTTTGTGCCTTTATTCGATAGTGATAGTGAGAGAGAGACAGGAAAGTAGGGGAGAAGAATGGGGCAAGGACATGTGGGAAAGGGTCATGAGCAGGATTTGAACCCATGACCTCCACATTGGGACTGTAGCCCTGTACATGAGACGCCAGCTCAACTAGGTGAGCTATAGCGGCGCCCCACAATGGATTCTACAGACTCTGTGAAAACGATCTGTCCACATGCTCTGACAAACCTTGGTTCCGAACTAGTCCAAACACTGCAACCGCTGAACTCCATTGATCTTTGTCATAAATGCCGATTTAAGGTCTGTTGTTTTTCCCAAGTTTCTATCGCTGTCCGTCTTCACCAGGTAGTTTCCACTTTCCAGAGTTGTTCATTGACTTGTGGAGGTCCATGGGTCTCTTCCTGATATCTTGGCTGGTTTCTGTAGATGTTCCATGAAGCAGTGTGTTTGAGGTGTGCCTTAAAATACATCCACAGGTGTGCCTCCAGTTGACTCAAATGTTGTCAATCAGCCTATCAGAAGCTTCCAAAGTCGTGACATCATCACCTGGGCTTTCCCAAATAGTTTGACGGCATCTTAGTGGATGTAAACTATCACCCATAACTAATGAGCAAAATCTGGCATTACTGATGTTGTAGAGAATGACTGGAAATCTTCGTGTTATTTTTCTTACAACCTTCAGCTCTCATCATTTTTGTTATTTGTCAAATAAAAAAAATACTAATTAAAATGATTGTGCTAATCAAGATGCGTGCGTTTCCTACTCTGGTTTTCGGCAGCGTGCAGTCACAGCCGTTTCCCGCAGACACACTCGGTCCTAATCTGCTCGTGTATCACGCTTTGCTGCCTCTTCGGCCTGTCAGTTTACACTATCAATCCAATCTTGATTGATTTTCCTGCTTGTGCTCTCGAACCTCTCTTGTCTCTGAGTGAGAGATAGGAAATGCAAACAAGAACCAGAGATAGAGAGAAAGAGCAGAAGAGACACAGGTCCATGTCATACAGGACAGGAGAGGACAAGGAGAGGAGCTAGAAGAAGAAAAAGTATCGTCCATTTCTCTTTGTCTGATCTGCAAAAACGTTCCTCTCTCTCTGCCTGTAATCATCAAGTTCCATACATCCGGTGGGACGTCTCAGCTCAGCAGAGGAAAACCAGTTGTCTCCCATTGTGTCCCATCTCACCCAGGAACTGGATGAATGAACCTTTGACCCCATTAAGCAGCAGGAGGAATAGTCGGGAAGATAAACCAGCCGAGCAGGAAGACCCTTCACCCGTTGTGTGTCAAAGGCCTCGGCAAGGCACTCCAAGAAAACAGGCTTCAAACAGACATGTGAAGATCCACCCTGGAGGTTCTTCTCCACTGTGAGGTTTGCCAAGTGTGATCTGGATCTGTTTGTTCTGGAGACCCACAGTATGGGGATGTATGGAGGAGTTTTTGGAGAGGTAAACATCAGCAGCTGTGTCTGTTGACACCTCTTGTGCTGGTAGTCAAGATGTTTGCAGTGAATGTTATGAGCAGGTGTTTAGTGGTCTTCAGACCGACTAGCTGTATATGCAATGCCTATAAGACGTATTCCCCCCTTTTGTTGCTTTTACATGAAATCATGGTCAATAGAATTTGGCTTCTTTGACCATAAATTGCAAAAAAAAAACAAAACAGATTTTTACAAAATAATGTCAATTAATTAAAAATATATCATATATTCACCTCTTCCAGGTCAGTATTTAGTAGATGCACCTTCAGAGCACTGTGCCTGTGTGAATATGTCTCAATCAGGCTGAACATCTGGACACTGCAGTTCTTCTCAGGCTCTGTCAGGTTGCTTGGGGATCAGGTGGGAACAGCTCTTTTCAAGTCCAGCTGCAAATTCTTGATTGGATTGAAATCTGGGCTTTGACTGGGCTTCTCCAGAACATTCACCTTGTTGGCTTTGAACCATTTCTGTGGAGCTTTTAGCTGTGTGCTTGGGCTCGTTGTCTTGCCAGAATCTTCTCCCAAGTCGTAGTTCAGTCAGTTCGAGTCAGATTGTCCTCCAGGATTTGGTGATAGTTTCCAGCATTCACGTTCCCCTCTACCTTTACACGCCTTCCAGGGCCTGCTGCTGAGAAGCATCCTCTCGTCATGATGCTGCCTCCACCGTGCTTCATGGTGGAGATGGTGTGTTTGTGGTGATGGCCAAAAAGCTTAATTTATGTCTCATCAGACCCAAGAACCTTCTTCCATTTGACGTTAGAGTCTCCCACATGCCTTTGGGCAAATTCCAGAGATTTCATTTGAGCTTTTTTCAACAGGAGCTTTCTGTCTGCCACCCTCCCTCCCATACAGCTTCTACTGGTGAAGAACCCAGACAACAGTTTTTACATGTACAGTCTCCCATCTGAGCCACTGAAGCTGGTAAATCCTTCAGAGCGGTCGTAGATGTCTTGGTAGCCTCCCTCACCAGCTTTAGGCAGATTTAAACAAGTGCCAGACTCCTTCCATTTCTTAATGATGGATTTAACTGAACTCCATGGGATGTCCAGTGAGGAAGCCTTTTCGTAGCCATCTCCTGACTTATACTTCTCAGCGATCTTTTCTCTGGGTTACTTGGAGTGTTTCTCTGTCTTCATGTTGCACTTGTAGCAGGAACACTGGTGAATCAGAGACTGGACCTCCCAGACTCAGGTGTTTCAATCACCTGACACACATCAGCTGCACTCCGATGATTTGCACTTCACTAATTGTGACACTGCTGGCATTGACTAGCTGGACGTCTGTTGAATTCGGTCAGTCACGTTAAAGGGGGTGAATATTTATGCAGACACTTATTCACACTATATATTCTAAGTAACATTTGACAGTTTGATTGAGACATCCCAGTTAGCTAGACCTAAATAATGCAAAACTCTTAAACCGACGAGGTCATGCCTTCTGTTTTTTGTCTAAAGGTTTTCCAAAGCTGCTGTTTTAGACTGAGTCTCAGAACAGCACATTATGTTTTTACTAATTATTGGTAGTCAAATGCATGTATGAATCCCTCCAAGCAGGCAGTAACATTTATACAAATAGCTGCACTTTTATTACACAGGCATCTATGAACTACAACGAGCTTTGACTGGTTTAACATTCATGATCTCGTCGTTCGTCTGCTGTGATTTCTCGGTGTTATTCTTTGTGATGAGACCTGGAGCCTGTGTAGGATTTGGCATCGTGTCTCCACTGATCTGTCAAACAGCCATAGGTGTAATGAGACGCCTGTCACAACACGAGACACACTGAGTGAACCCTCCTTCTGTGTAGAGCTCCTAATTGAAAACGCCAGGAATCAAGTGACTCTCCTGAATAGCACAATAACGCTGTAGATTAATTAACTATCGTGCACTTCAAACAAAAGTAATTAGGAGGCACAAAGCTCTCTGTCATTCTATCTTCAGTCCTCTCTCTCTCTCACATTAACGCTGTTCTCAGTGCAAAGGTTGATCCCCGTGAACTCCGACATAGCCCAGATGACCAGGGGCTGCCCGGCCACAGAATGGCATAATTAAAAGAGACGTCGTAAGGAAACAACAAATTCCATTTTACTGCTCGTTCTCGTCACAGCGCCGCCGTCCGCCTTGTTTTAGGCTCTCAGTTTATTGGTGTGTGTACTCTGTCATTACCGGCGAAATGAGATTGTATGATGGAAATTGGTGGCGGCCGGTTGTTGCATTTAGACGGCTAATGATGAGAGCTAGCGTGAGAGGCAACAGAAGTAAACAACTAATTTACATGGTGAGGCGCAGTGGTAGTAGCTATGCCTCCGACTCGGTGTGTGTGTTGGAGAGAGAGTGCACAATCGAGAGACTGAGCGAGCGAACGCAGGTCTCCTTCGTGCTTGATATATAATTTGAAAGCCGTACAAACATCTTCCAGTGCTGCCAGTGCCCTTATTGTGACCCTTATTTTCTAATGAAAGCACTAAAACAGGTAATGAGTGATGCCGGCATTAGAAGCGCCGTCATATTGTGTGTCTCTGCAGCTCTGGTGGATATTAAAAGATGGAACAGCCTCTTTAGCAGAAGCCAGGATGCCCGTCTTAAAGCAAAACCCTCCTCCGGCTCCAAAAAAAAAGAAAACGATGGCGGTTTCATTACAGAGACAAAACATGGAATTTTATCAGCCCATTATTTCATCACTAGTATCTCTCTTCTAAAATTAACAAATGACAATTTTTTTGAAAGTGTGTGACTTCATGGCAGAATATGTGACACCAGATAAGTGACTTTAATAGAGAAACTTGGTTATCGGACTTTATTAATGATGAACGTCTCATATTTCAGTCAAAAGCAGAGACTTCATGCGGAGCTCTCATTTAATCCTTCTGCCTTCTGGCTCGGAGTGAGATCAGTAATATTTTAAATGATACAAGTCTGATTGGAATCTGTGTTGTCAGAGTCATGCTGTGTAATCCCATTATCATCCTATTATTAGTGCGTTTCAGAGGGAGAGATTTGCTGTTAGGTCCTTGTGTAAAGATGCATCTAATTAACATCTTCTTCACGTTTGCCGGGGACTGATCGCGTTCCGTCCTGTAAACTTTAATGAAATGCGCTGTGATATATTTAGATGTATGACAGATTTTATTCAGAGGACTTGATATTCTTTTTTACAACATTAAGAAGAAATGCAGCACTCGTTAGTCGGAGGAGAGGGTTTAGAACTCCAACCAGCCGTTTGTAATGTACAGCAAGTTTTTTGAAGTGGGTTGTTGCTCAAGTTGGAGCAAGTTTGCTATGTACTCGATAATCCGACCCTTAACAATCCTAAACCTTGCAATC